GGAGAGAAAAAAGGAGCCCTAGCAACTCCTGAACCTCCGTTCGGTGTATATCTGCTCTTTCTTTTTTTTTCTCTTTCATCTTTGCTCGCGGGACGGGCAGATTGACTCGTCGGTCGGAGTTGCTCGAAACTACACGCTCTCTGCGTGACAACGACTGAATCGTGACAGGTGTTTGTTCCCGTGTGTCGTAGGAGAAAAGGAGAGAGGCAGAGGAAAAAACAGGTAGCGTTTAAACAATTTACGTATCTCATTCAAAGGAGGAAGTTGACGGCTAGCGTTTTTTGAGTTTACTGAAGTGTCAGACCTGAAGTTATTCTCGGAAAACGCGTAAAGGACACGCAGGAGGGGGAGGATTTTTGGAAATCGCTGAAATATATATATATATATATATATATTTCAGCGATTTCCGAAAATCCTCCCCCTCCTGCGTGTCCTTTACGCGTTTTCCGAGAATAACTTCAGGTCTGACACTTCAGGTCTGACAGTAAACTCAAAAAACGCTAGCCGTCAACTTCCTCCTTTGAATGAGATACGTAAATTGTTAAATGTATATATATATATATATATACATACATTTTACTCAGCGCTCAAACGTGACCGTCCTCTCCCTCTGCTTATCACTCACCGTTAGAATCGAATATCGAGATATTATGGTTGGATGGATATGCAGGATGCATTTCCTGTGACAAGAAGTAACCGCGGTATCGGAAATGGGTCAAATCGTTTCTCGGAAGAAAGAGGCAGCCACGTGGCTGGCTCTCGTGGCGCGCGTGCCTGGTCTTTCGTACCTCCGGAGATTTATCGATCTTAGAAATGCCCAGTCAGCCCGAAGGAAGAGGGTTTGAGGGACAAACAACGGATACGGAGAAGAAAGTGTTTGGTACTCGTGACTATAATTGCATAGTAAAGTAATTATAGTGAAATACCATTAATAATCGTCAAAGTAATTACAGAAAAAATATTTTTTGCAGTAAATATTGCTATAGTGCTTATCATAAGGAACTTTTATACATATTGCTACTGCTACTTTTTTGTTAGAATAATAAGAAAATATAGTTGGCGCTGAAAATGGTTGTAATTGTTGTAAAATTAATCATTTTTCCGCAGTAAATGTTGTTACAATAATCTTGTATAAATAAATAAGGATAAGATACAAAGGCTCTCTCTCTCTCTCTCTCTCTCTCTATCTATCTTTTTTTCTCAAGAAATATAAACTAAAATAAAAAATAAATTACAAATAAAATGTTCGCTTTATACTCGATGTAAACTTTGCTTTATTATTAAATATAATATCATATTTTAATAACGCAGCATTTGTTTTCTTACTGTATATTTCTATATTGAGAGAAAAAATATCTAAAAAGTAATAAATATTTTTTTGTGAGTACTAATAACATATTTATTTAAATTTAAATTATTTTAATAAAATAAATAATTACTTTTACTAAAAGCTAAGGTTTTAAGAAAAGATGTATTTTTTTATTTGAAAAATATTTTATAGAATAAAAATAAAATATTTTAGAGTATAAAAAAATATTATTAGTACCTACCGAGTAGATACTTTTTATGTTTCAAATTTTTTTCTCTCAATGTACTGCTACACTTTTGTTAAAGCAACAAAATAGTATAACTGTAGTTGAAAATAACTATAATTCTAATTAAATTAACTATTTTTTTTAGTAAGTGCTACTATAATGTTATTTAAACTAACCTCATATGTGTATGTTTCTACTGCTATTTTTTGTTGATGTAACAAAAAAGTATGACTGTTGCCAAAAATAACTATAATTAAATCCATAATTTTTTTCTTTCGGTCTACGCTAAATATTCATGTAATTCTTTTGCACCGATTGCGTTGATTGTACAAGTAATTATAAACGTATCAAGCGCGGCTGCGCATGTGAAATTAAAGTCGGGGCAATGAAGCGAAACGCTGGCTCCACAACGTACCCACAATCTGACTTTCGATAATTGAACCGATAATTTCGTTAATAGCAAATGTCTCCGCCGTAATTGTACAATTTGAGAGAGTAGCGGTTAAATCATGACGATATTATGCAGCGATCGAATTTATCGACTACTTTCAGTCAACACCGAACATTAGATCTATGTTACAATTCCGTGTTTAATTATGCAAATGCAATATAACACCATATTGTATTTACATGATTGAGTGCGAAATGATAATATAGTTGTATTATAATTGATGTTCGGTGTTGACTGGACTGCTTCTAAGTACGTCATCCGCTATCCCCCATTTTTAATTCAGATCTACAACGTGCTCTTTGCTTCTTGTTTCTTTATTTCTTTCTGATTTAATCCTGAAGCCTTTAGTCAGAAAATCAGACTTTACCGTCTGCGAAAGAAACTTAGCAGGCAGATTTTCTGCAACTTACCTTAACCACGTCCGCGGTACATCGTAAAAGAGCATGGAGACGCACAATGGGTCTTCGGAGAGACCTTTAAACTTTAAAGGGACGGCACCCTAACAGCTGGTGCCACTTCCTGAGTGTGTTTCTTTTGGTCGTTTTATACATATTTAAAATATTGATTTTCACTCTGACGAGTAGATATGCTAGTAGATGCGTGAAGGACGAAGGTGCGTAGGTGCCGTGAATCACGCTACTCGATTGATGAAGCTCCAAACAAACAAACAATCCATAGATATGTTCTTTTTAATTGAACTAAGTTCTTCGCTTTTGGAGTGAAATGAGTATAATCTAATGTTGAGAGGAAAAAGGACGAAGTTCCAGTGCAGTGATTAGTCCACTAATTAGTTCTTTAATATTAAGTAATTAGTACATAATTATATATTTTCGCGTTAGATTTTTCTCAAAATTTTTATATTGACAAAGTAATGATTTTGTCGATATAATACTCTCGATATAATGTAGATAAAATTGTATTATTTATCCCAATCCCAATTTTATATACTAATTTCTTTTTATATACTAACTTCTTTTGAATACTAATTATTGTATAGGATAGAAAATAAAATATTTTTGTTTCAATAGGATAGAAAATAAAAAATAAAATATTTTTAAAATATATTAAGCATTTTGTTAAATATTGAAATTATTTGAAAAATCGACATATATGTGTGTGTGTGTTTGGTTCAATTTTAAGGTAAAATCAGAAAATATATAGGGGGACCTTTTCCATTTAGAATCGCATGTTTGAAATATTACATCTCTAATCAGAATTCACTATTGTTTTGAGGAAACACGAACTGGGATCCCAATTGGATCCCAAGAAACTTTCTGTGCGACAAATCACAGGGAATCCGTTTGTTTTTATTGTTTGAACTACGATTCTCACGATATCGGAAGCATTCGTCACGTTTGCTGTACGTTCCACCGTGTAATATAGTACGAGCCCGCTGTGAGGCCAATTAACACCTGTAATCGTGAATTCCACCGCGGCATCTGCCGCGGGCGATACGATATCCAGATGTTAAACGGCAGGCCTATGTGTGGTACGTTTGATGCTTTTTTCTACCGGTATCGGTATGAAATAAGAGCTCCTTCCGGTCTCATACGTGTCGCCGGGTGAATACGTCGCGAGTGACGTGAACAATATTTACTGCGTTACGAATACGAGAATACGTCGGAAGTCCTGGAAAATAAATCGTCGTCACACGACACGGCGGTATGTGTGCACTTGGGAAACGTACTTTAGATTTTCAATGAAACGAACTTGTCATCCTTATTTGGAGATGTCATCTACGTGGGGGATATGACTGTTCTATTTCGATTCGGCTGTACAGAATGCATCCCGACTGATCGACGCGTTCACACGATTGTGCATATGGCGCCATAAATATTACAATTTAGCGAGTAACGAGGTAATTGGGGTGGGCGTAGCCGTGACGAATACAGGGGCGATTAAAGCCCTGCCTCGGCCTATTTGTTGAGCTTAGCTAATTAAAGAATGCTCTTTCCCAACGCCATGTGCAACTTTAATAGATCGTTCCGTGGGGCCAACAATTATTTATTTGATATGGCAATATCATACATCGACAATTTATTTAAAAAACGCAGAGAAGAATACCTAATTTACGGATCGCCAAGCGCTTCGTTAATTTATTGTGAGATAAACAATAGAAAAGGAATCGCAAATATTCTTTTTAAAGCATGAACACTTTTAAATGTAAAGATTGATTGGTGATATTTAACCATTTGAAGAAGATTTGTGATATTCAAATTATTTTCTTATTTGAATACCACTTTTATGATAGATAGAAAGATGATCCAATAAAGAGCTTGATGTTAAAGTTTTTGATGGCGGCGTTTTTTTTCTTCTTGCACCATATTAAAAAGAAGATGATCAAAATCAGAATAATAGTACCAATTATTACGCCAGCTATCACGTCATTATTAACATTTTCCCCGATGTCACCACCTGAAATGATAATCTTTATTGCATTAGACTGTCATGTTCGATTAAAGGTGATTGATTTTAATCGGTCACGAGCAGTTTTTCATCGCCACAATTATAGAACATTAATCAATAATCGTGTAAGACTATCGAGATCACAGTACCTGCTCTCGAACTATTAGCTTCAGAGCAGCTAGCAAATGCGATTAAGCTGATATTGGAAATAAGAACGTTCACCCAATCTCCAACGTTTATTTCGGCTCCTAATCTACGTATATATACTCTGTGCTTCATTGATGTGGAGAACAATCGCAAGTGTCTGCCCATTGTATCCTCTCTTATTCTCTTATCTATTAAATGTCAAAAGAAAGGAAAACAATAACATAGAGAGAGTCTAGAAATTAACGCTTTAAATAACTTTAAATTAAGAATGGTTTAGCCTGTAAAATATTAAAGATATCGCCTGTGAAGTATCGACTCAGTCTAAAATATTAAAATAAAATCACGAAGGATACAAATATAAATGAGATCTGAAGATACTTATTATGAACTACTTATTATGAAAGTGGTATGAATCCGAAAAAGATTAATAATTTAGTTGTTGTAATAAAGATAATATAAACATAGATAATATAATTTCAATGCTTACAGATAGGTTTGAGAAATGAGAAAATAGAAACAAAGAAATGTATAAAAAAATAGACTCAAATCACTTTCATAATACGCGACTCACCTATAATTGAATAATATAGAAATTTGTCACGTGATATTACGTTCTTATCAATTTTCGCTGTTAAATTATTATGTTCGAACCAACGTACGTTGCGCATTCGGGAAGTTATTGTTGTCCAAATGCACATCGACGGAAGTGGAGTCGAGGAAGTATGTGCTATCGTCGTGAGAATAGCGAAAAGTGATTTTATTTTCCTTAACATCGGCTTGATTTTCGACGGCGTCTTTCCAGCTCAAAGTAATCTCTGCAGTTTTTTCACCACAGATACCACTGGTTTTTGCTTTTCTTGGAACTGTTAAAGCAGCCTCATTTGTCTAAAATGTTATATTAGGTTGCTTGATAAATAATAGTAAGAACATAAACAACAACAATAAAAATTTTATGTTTCCGCATACAGATTGCCAGACGAAACGAGCTGAATCTTTAGAACTATTAGAAGTAGAAGAGAATGTCATGAAGCAAAAGTGGCGTTAAATATTACATATTCTTATGTTACTACGTTCTTATGTTTTACGTACTTACAAGCAAAGTTATGAAAATATTAATTAAAATTCTCTCAATTTGATAATTGATTTTAACAAATATGTTCCAATTTAACTAATTAATTAGTTGATTTAAACAAAATTAACCGAAGAATGTTTAATTAACGATTGATTTCAACGAATTCAATTAAAGACCGTTCAATTGACGATTGATATGAGCGAAGGAAATCGTTCAATTGACAATTGAGCTTAACAAATTTAATTAAAAGCTACTTAACTTCCGATTGCTATGAGTAAATCCAATCAATTTAATCGAAGAGCAATTACTCAAGGTTATAATTGATTTTGTGGATAATATTCATTCTCAGAGTATCGTGGTATCGTGGAAAACACGATCATTATGTCATTTATTATCAAACACTCTGGTGTATCTCACTTTATTTTTCAAAATTTTTTTAATAGAATTATATATCTACTTTTTCATATAAATATATTTATTTATATATATATAAAAGTATTAAAATAATGTCAACTAAAAGAAAGGAATTTTGTATGATATTTTAGATATATTATAGATATTTAGATATATTTTGATATAAAAATAAATTTTTCGTAAAATTCTATATCTACTTTTTATTAATCTTTATCTTTATTCTTTTAATATGCATAAGAGATGATCTGAAAAACAAATAAGAAAAAATTATAATAAGAATAAATAACTGAATATATATATATTCTAGTAACAGAGTACCCGTATACTTGGATAACTTGAGAAATACTTATGTAATACTCAAACGACTCGAGTTTCCAAAGAATCGAGGATGACATCATTAATATCTACCCTTTCGAGAAAAAAGAATATTATTTTTACACGTAAACGATTGAAAATATTCGTCGATAGTATCTTTTCTTATTCCACTGGTGTTTGAATGGTTAACATTCTACAGGCTGTCCTACGCAGGTATATTAAGACAACTGAAGATAGAAAAGAATGTATAGTAACATAAAGAATATAACAACTAATGTAAAATAAATTATATATTGTTATGTTACTTGTAAGAAGAGTTGTGAGTAATTAATTACTTTTTAATTAATTATCGGATTTAATTAACGATTAATATGAGCCAATTTAACTGAAGACCGTTTAAATGACAATTGATTTCAACAAATTCAATGGAAAACTGTTCGATTGACAATTGGTTTCAACAAATTCAATTACAGAATTCAATTATCTACTCAATCATGAGAATTTTCCACGATGTCACACGCATGATGCTCTGATAATGAATATTATCCGCCAAACTAATTGCAATCTTAAGTAATGGAACGCTCTTCGAATTAATTGCTTATATCACTCGTCAATAAAGCCACCTTTAATTTAATTTACTAAGTTCAATTACTAATTGCACGATTCTCTTAACTTTTTGATCCCCTTTTAGGTATATACGACATATGATTCCCTCTGCATATGGATCGTCAATTGAACAGTTTTTAATTGAATTTGTTGAAATCAATTGTCAATTAAATATTCTTCGGTTGATTTTGCTTGAATCAATTGTTAATTAGTTAAATTGAAACATATTTGTCAAAATCAATTATCAAATTGAGAAAAATTTTTAAATATTTTTCACAACTTTGGATACGAACTATTTCCACATGAACGTTATGTCATTAATTATCAAACACAATTTGTAGAAATACTCGGGTTATATAGAGAGTACTAGTTAATATCTTACTCGATAATAATTCGTCATGTATTGCAGATTGATTTGAATTGTCATGTTAGCCTGAACGCACGCCACTCCAGTGTTCGCGTCTCTCGCGACATAATTGAATTCTTTGCAAGGAATGACAGTTGCATGCGGTGTCGTGTCCGTGTTAGTTGTTACTTCAGTTGTGATAACTTCCGTGGTTTCGGCCTCAGTGATGATTTGCTCGCTCGTAGTTTTCGGAACTTTCGATATACTAGTCGGCGTCTCGATGGTGGACTCTTTCATCCACGATGAATCCCTCGTAGAGATTGCCGTATTTTTCGTAATCGTTGTATCTATTGGCATGGTTTCGCTCTTCGATTCCTTTACCGTAGTCATCGTGGTCGTCATATATGAATTTGTCGTTGCATTCGTTTCCAAGGTTGATTCTGTCGTTTGTGACTTAACCGCTGTAACACTCGATGAAGAAATGGTGCTCGACGAAAGTGATGCGCTTGTTGCACTTGTCGATGCATTTGTGGTGGATGCAGTCGAAGCTATCACGACATTCGTCGTCGATGCAGTACTCGGTGTATTCGTTGTCGTTGTTCTCGTCGCAACAGTTGTCGATTCGTGCGTTGTAAGTCGCGTTGTGAATGATGTCGTCGCGTTAGATCTCGACATCTTTTCCATGGTCTTTTTCACCTCTGTAAGAATCGGTTGCACGTGATCGGACGACGAGATTGGCTGATTGATCGATTGCTCGCGCGCTCTCTCGCCTGTATATTTTTTATTAAAAAAAAATCATTGAACTATGAGTTACTACCGAATAAACTATGAATTATTATCGAATATATAGAACTGTGAATTAAGGTAAAAGTACCAATTCCCGAGCACGTATTTAATCCTGAACATTCTTATTATTTTGGTCTTTAAAATTAAAAATATTAATATTTAAACTTTCAACATGGAATGTATATATATTCAATACTTGTATATTTTATGTTGAAAGTTTAAATATTTGTATTTAAAAGCTAAAACAATAAGAGTATTAAGTAAGTGTCCAGGCATTAGTATTAAATTGATTATCGAGTGAGTAGGGGGAAACCGGGGCTAGATGTCCTGTATTTTAGAATTTCGAAGTTACAATTTCTCAAGCAACTAATAGTTATGATTGCAAAAACATAACAGAGGCAAACTTCTTCTTTATATTATTGCCCGTCACGAGCTTGTTAATCGTATATTTTGTTTTGTAATAACCAAAATACAAACATGCAGCAACTATCTTATCCTGACAGCGGATTCAGTTGTTCAGTAACGCAGGATAAGAAGGCCAGTAAAATATGTATCCTGATTAATTCCAGAATCTCCGTGAAAAGTCTCCACAGTTTTCCCGCTTTATTTATGAGACAACTTTATTTCGTCCGCGCATATATTCTATTTCAATCATTTTATAAATGAAGATTACATTTATTACCAGAAATATACACTTGAAAGAAATTTCAGTCTAGTAACACATCACTTAATTTTATACAGTCACGGTGGAGAATGTTAGTAGAAAATTTCGAGCTAAAAAATTTACTTTAATATTACCAAATTAATTTTTTTTCTATTCCTTGAACGTAATGTTATGCCGATTTTAATTAAATTTGGGGTAAAGTGTTTATATTTTAAAAGAGTTATTTCGCGGTGTTATACCCACTATTCTTCTCAAGATAAATACTAAAAAAAAGCATATGACAACGTACCATTGGGATCATATTGCCTCGGTTTCCCCTGTTACTAATCACTAAGAAGATAAAAATAGGGTCAAACCTAACTGTAGATCAGGAAAACATCACCTCCGATTAGTAAGACCACGAAAATCAGAAACACCATTGTTGTACGTTTCATGTTTAATTTTTCAATACTTCGGAATACCTCGTAGAGAATTCGCCACATATACGTACTCGCTACGCACTCGGCCGATCACAAATCTCTTATTTCGTATTTTCACAGAAAAAAAATCCATACGTTTACCGACAGGAAAATTTTGAGAATGAGACACAACAGGAAAGCGACCCAATGTGAATCCAAAGAATGACGACCGGTCTATGTGAAACTGATCCAATTCCAACGATAGTTAAACGTGGAATATATACAAACGAGTCACATAGATAGCTTTCTCTGGACAGAATCGATATTTTTGTCCATTATCTTTTTGATGATGCGATGAGATATCTCTGAACCTGTTCTTTTCCACTAGCCAATCAGCGCGCTAATGTCGAGATCTTTCCGTAATTAGAGTCGATAAGCTCGAAATGAGAATTTTCACATTTCAGAACCGCTGACCGCGATCTGCTCGTTTCTAATATTTATATATGGTCGTCGTTACATGAGTGAGATGTTACGCCACGGAGAAAGATAAGAATCTGCGAATCTAAAATAAAACTTTTAGATTCCAGATAAGAATGTTGTGGCGCGCATAATCTCTGTTGACCATAAATACAAATTGAGGAAAGTTTGAAGAAATAGACTACTTTTAATTAATGTAATTAAGTTTAATCTGATTATTTTCAATACATGTAAAAAAATTTCAGTTGGTGCAACCAAATAGGAATCAACTGAAAATTAAATGATCAGAAGTGATATCTCTGTTATGAAAACTAATATTTCTGTTTTCGCAACCGAAAATATTCGTCTGAACATTCAACGATATTAGAACTCGGTTGAGGCAACTAAGAACAATTGACTATACAGAAGCCTCATAAAAGAATTTTCCTACAGCCGAGTTTTCGCCTGATCCCTGAGCAACCGAAAATTTGGTTGCACCAACAGAATTGTTTTTACCGTGTATCTGTACAGAAAAAAAGATTTCTTTAGCTTTGATAAATTTTATTACAATCAGACAAATCTGATCATTGAAATGATCCAAAGAAACTAATGTTGCCATCAATAAATACGATCACTTGACTTTTTAAATAATTTTATTGTTTGGTAAAAATAATTTGTTTGACTCAAAGTAAAAAAATTGTTGGGTTTAAAAGAAAAAATTGTTTCACTTAATTTTTTTATTTATAAAAAAAATTCGACAATTTTATTTAACGAATTTTTTATGTTACGATTTTTTGTATCAGACCGATTTTTTGGGAATTTTGTATCCGGGGATTTTTTGGGTCACCGATTACGAATCAGAAGACAGAATTTCAAAATTCTAAATAGTCTAAATGGTCTAAATGATCTAAATGATCTAAATGATATAAATTTGGATTTTAGATAGTATAAAACATCACAGATAGTTGATACTTGCACAAGCACTTAACTAAAATAACGAGGAAAATTCACCTAATAACGTTAATATACATACAGTAGTAAAAAATAAAATTTTATCCGTTTACTTTATGCAAACGTACGAAACAAATTGCAAATGTTATGACAGCAGTTATGACGGCACTTCTTAAAAGAGTTACTGACTATATCCTATTATGCACCGCATTATGCCCCAGATTCCCGTTATATGTGTAAGGCTGAAAATCGTGCAAGTAACCATAATTATAATGGTAAAGCATACAGTATTGTATCGTTTTCTCGCTCTCGTGTTGCAAATATTATTAATACACATGCCCTCTCGCGAACGCGCAATGGAATAAAAACGCTCCGAACACGGCCGCACAGCAATTAGCGTGAGCCACGCACGAATGCACCCCTTTCCGCTGTATCGCTGCACGCTCGGACATTATTATCCGGTTTTTCGTTTCTGCCGTATCATTACGTCCTTTGTTGGCGACTCGCGTCGGTGTACGCGGCAATCGAAGTGGCTGAAATGAACTGTATCCTGAAATGAACCCTGTACTCTCTCCTTTTACCACCGCGCGCGAGTCACCACCGCCACCATCACCATGCGACCCCTTTTCCGATTTCAGTGCAGCTCACGGGTGGTTGCGGTTTCAATTATTATCCCGACACGCAGCACGCGTGGAGGTGGACAAAGGCAACGTCGGACACACCCGTGGTCATTAATTGCGCGTTAAGCCCGTGGCCAATTGAACCGATCGTCGTCGCACACGTTTTCTATATCACGACGCCCTTGTTCTTTCAGCTGCCTAATTCGCGGTTTCGTCTCTCTCTCTCTCTCCCTCTCTCTCTCTCTCTCTCTCTCTCTCTCTCTCTCTCTCTCTCTCTCTTCTTCTCTCTCTTTTTCTGACTTTCTCGTTTATCGATCTACTTTCGTTGTTAGGATTGTTCTCGCAACTGTTTCGGCTCCTTTCCGCGTATCTCTGGGGATCTCTAGCTGTTTCACATGTATCAAATATATAATGAAAGTGTCTAATATCACATACTTTCTTTAGAAAATATGTTAAAAGAAATTAATATCTTTGCGTATTTCAGTTACATTCTCTTTGAAATTTATCAAAAAATAATATACTAATAATCTAATTAGAATAATTCTTTCTAATTAGAATTAAGTAAGCAACATTTTTAAACAAAATCAAAGATGGCTTTGAAATCTCTCGATTCTGAAATATGTTAAAAACAATAGAAATAATCGATTATAATTCTACATATAAAACTCTTGTAGTTATTATTGATATAATTGTCATTACTATGTTTTTTTCTAAGTGCATGAGACATCGGTTGCATTCTTAAATATATCGAACACAGCAATAATGAATTTGTTTAAAAAACAAATTCAAGAACAAATTATTAATAGAATCATGCAGTGATTTGTATGAGAATTAGAACAGGAAAGGGGTGACACACAGTCAACAATGGCAGATCCTCAGCTCAATAATATATGTGAGTACGTAGCACGTAGTAATTCCCACAAAAATTGCTACTAGCGTATCCAACACGTGCACGTGGATTTTCCCATAGAACACCCCCAACGAATATATAATACGTGTCGATGTGGTTCACTCGACGACCGCGTTTCCACGCGGAACGGGAGGGTAATACGACGAGATGATTGTCGCACAACAGAAGAATTTATGAAGAAATGCTGCATGGAAAGTGATTTACGATTTTGAGAATCGATTTTTAAATAATATAAGTTCCCCGTCCCTTAACGACTAAAGGCTAGTTTTTCAATGACAGTTTAAACTTAGATTTCAACTTAAACTCGGTTTAAACAAAACAAATGCATTGTTAAAATAGAGTTTAAACTTGAATCCAAGTTTAAACTGCTATTGAAACACCCTAAGATAAATAAGTATATGTAAATTTGGCGATAACTTTATTGTTCCATATGTAAAGGTCATATACTTTATGAGTGGTTCATATGACCGCTCATAATATGAAAAAAAATATCTAAAAAGTAAAAAAAATATTTATTGAGAGAAAGTATTAATAACACATTCACTTATACTAATATATATATATTCTTACACCGAGAAAACATTTTTTTTATAAGAAAATAAACATTTTTTTAAAACTGCGACATTTCATAAAAGAATTTAGATTTAAATAAATATGTTATTAGTGCCAAATAAGTATTTTTTTTTATTTCTTAGAAATTTTATTGTCTTACAAGAGACCTGCCGCAACTGTCCCTCACCTATTTTGATACACTTTCGATTGTAGAGTATCAAAAAATAAGAGACCTATAAATATGTTACTAGGTAGATAGAAGAATATAAATTGTAGCATAATAATATTAACATAATAACATAAAATAGCATTAACAAATAACAAAAATAATATAGACAATTGCATATACTTAACATATAATATTCACAATTTATAAATGTTATTATATTATATTAATCATATAATTAATATAATGTTAAAAAAATTAATACAGAACTTGCAGATATATAGCGAATAAATGTGTTTTATTTATGGCACATATTCGTTACACAGTTTATGGAAAAAATGTGTGATGTGTGATTATTTGCACCAAGAACAATAAACGAAATACTATATTATGTTTAATTTGGAATCTTTGTACCCACGTATCTGACGTTATGAATTCTGGTGCATTTTCCTCTTGTTATACTCGAGAAGCTCATCGACCGATGTCAATATCATGAATTATAATTCAATGATAATTATCATTCCTGTTTGGAGCGCTTCATTGAAATGGTTTAATGTATAGTCAGAAATTCTATAAAATGAGATATTTGTAGCAAAACTATGCTATAATTACTTGTTTTTGGTGCAACAATCACTTTGCATCACACATTTTTTCCATGAACACCCTCTTTGTAACAAATATGTGCCATAAATAAAACACATTAATTTTCTGTGTGTATGCAAGTTCTGTATCGATTTTTTAAAAATATTATATTAATTATATGATTAATATATTATAATAATATTATAAATTATAAACATTATATGTTAAATATATGTAATCGTCTATGTGTTTTTTCTACCATTTATTATATTCCCCGGTTTCGAATGGAAATAAGTTGTCAATTTAACGATTTTCAATTGAATTGGCTTAATCATCAATTAAACATAATAATTCATTAAAAAGGTATAATTAATAACTCGCAACCCCGTTTGAAACATTGTAAAGTTTTCATCAGCTACTCTCTCACATCTTGACGATTATGAAGATCTATTTGGGAATGCGCGGAGCGGCTAATTATTGTTGGACTCATTTTCATGTCAAATGAATTTTGCAAGCCTACAAATCGTGCGAAACTCCGACGAGGGACACCTGCAACGTGGGACGCTGCGATGCAAACGCGAGAAGTCCACGGTTCCATGCGTAAAATTTATGTTGCGTGAAGTAACCGTTCTCGCCCTGTTCTTTTGTGCCATCGGTGAGAGAGACGGTTGCGCGGCCCGGCGATCGCCCGTAACACGTCGAAGCACGTAAAAAGTTTTACGAGATAATTGTAATATCCGTAAATAACACGCGGAGGTATGCGGGAACGAGCGTCGCTTTTGCAACGAACTCGAAGAAACGGCCGGAATTTCGCGATTACGTTATTAAGTCTGGCGCTCTTTCGCTGGCAAACGCTTTACGCGACCGGTGATTAGCGTAAGAAAGAGCGGGGTTAGATGTCCTATATTTTAAAATTTCAAAGTTACGACTTCTCAGGCAACTAATTGTGACTGACTGTAGAAACATGAGGCGACCTTCTTCTACGTATTAACTTTAACGCTCATAAGCGAGTCATACTCGAGTGCGGGTAAATAACAAATTTGCTCACGCCCGAGTGTGACTCGGATGATTTAAAAATTTGTGCTACTAAAATACACGTGAACGTGTGCTGCTCGTGCTAAACTTATGCATCAATTCGATGATTTTGAATATACTAATTGGTCGGAAAGCAATTCAGACTCTAGTGATTTCAGTGATTTTGAAATCAAAACGGATCGTTCTGATGACGAAACTTTAAATGTAGGAAGGATTTAGTGCCGATTAAGTATAGAAAGCTTTAATCCAAAGCTGATTTTTTACTTTTTAGCGTAACTTTTCTAAATCATAACCCAATTTTACTGATTTCAAACTTTGTTTCCTGTGCTATAAAACTTGTATATATATAATATATTAGAATAGACAATGAAAATTTTGAGTAGAGTTTTGAAACTTTTTCTCCGATAAAAATCGAGCTTACACACATACTCATTTTCAAATAAAGAATTACTCAAATATTAATTATTTTCAGTAAAAAAAATGATTATTTTGGACCTTTTTTCTCGAAAAAAAAGAGCGTTAAGGAGTTAATGCCTACCATAAGTCTGTTAACCGCATATTTTGTTTTGTGATAACCAAAACACGAACACGTAGCATCATTTTGTCTGGCTTCAATTGTTCAGTAGTGCAGGATAAAAAAGCCACGTACAAAGTATGTATGTATCCTGATTACTAGTTCCAGAATTTTCGCGAGAAGTCTCCTGCCGGCTTTTAATTATGGGTCAACTTTACCTCGTCCGTCCATATGCTCTATTTCAATGATTTTATAAATAAAAATTGCATTTATTACTAGAAACAGTATATCATACATTTGCAAGACATTTTATTCTCGCTAGTAACACATCGCTCACTTTTATTTAATCACGATGGAGAATATTAATACAAAATTTCGAGAGACTCGAAAATTCACTTTGCTATTATCAAATCAGTTTTTTCTATTCCTTAATTGTAATATTATTCCGATTTTTAATGAAATTTAAGGAAAAATATTTATGTTGTAAAAGGACCATTTCGCGATTTTATGCCCGTTATTTCTCTCAAGATAAGTATTAAAGCACATGAGCAACATACTTCTGGGGCCATATAGCCCCGGTCGCTCCTAATCTCGGCAAGCGAAAGTTCGATTTCATCCCCGGTATTTGAATTCCCGTGAGAGCGATTTCCGCGAGAAATTCTCATTTCCAATTCTTACCTCTAAAATATTTTATCGCGCGAACTAAAATATTTTATCATCCAAACGTGCAGTCATAGATCGAATTAAGCCTGTGACGTAACGCGCGATTCTCTATCTTATCGCGACATTGTGTTATTACTTCTCGCAGATTTCGCGCACGCGAAATGTAATTATAGCGTTATAGCATTTTTGTGCCGGGAGAGAATTGCGCGATAAATTCTGTCGAATTTATCGCGCATGCAAAAACCATTGACAGTCGTCGCGATAACGCATCGATCGGTCTTAGTCAGAATAATGAAACGAAGAGAACAGTAAACTTTATCGAGTATTAATACGCGGAATACGGTAAATTACAGTTTTCATGCGACAAAGCGTTGCGACGCACAAAAAATTGCGCGCATGTGTCGTTGCCAATAGATAAAAATCCGCGCAGCTATATCCATCACCAAAAATCCAACCAGCTGTATCAATCGGCAAATCTGTGCGTCTTGCCTGCACTTGGAAGCAGAAAAGAATAAACATTTTTCCCGATGTGTTTTGCGACGCATCCAATATCCGATAAGAAAGTATATTTTTTGAGAATTACTTAAAGATAATTCTCAGCTGCTGAGGTCGATGACGAATTCAAAAGATGTCGATAACGCAGAGACGATTGTTATTAACACAATATCCTTTTCGTATTTCTTATACATATAGAATTTACGTAAATATGTGCTACTTTGTTTTACCATATTCAACGGAAAACCTAATCACGCATATATAGAAATTTTGTTGCAGATTTTTTGGATATTCTTGAGATTCCGAATTCAGATGCAAAAATACAACAATATTCTTTAAAATTTTTCTGTTTGGAGCATCCACACTTTCGGTATGTATAAATTGCGGAACTTTTTGGATTGTAGTCGATTTTTTGCCAAACAATAATCATAATAATAATGAATATTATAAGATTTTTATATTATATACATTTGTCATGTATCTAGATATGTAATGTAAACTTGTAATAGACATTAGAGTTATCATCTTAAAAAAAAAGTTTTGCCCTATAAAGGATTAAATCGTTCTGCGACCGGGTGTATATATCGCGACGTTACCTCTCAAACAAATCGTACGAGTCATTTGTGTTTGATGAGGTTTAATACTGTTACAATAAAAAAATTTCAAAGTTCTCTTCTGAAATGATAAAAAAAACTACTTCAGAAGATCGTATCTTCCGTAATATCCGTGCTGTATATCCGCATTCGACGTGCAAGAAAAAGGCGCGATCGTCGTTGAGCGCGATTCAGGGTCTTCTCTATGTAATCATGATCCATTACTTCCACGCTGGGGGCACGCGTGCCATATGGTTCACGCGATCGATCATGCATGCGTTGACGATCGAGCTATCAAGTTCGCGAAATTTTAACTTTGCACGCGCGAGCGACTCTTCGGCACACTCGAACGGCTTCGTGGGAAATGGGCAGTCGACGTTACGTCTTCGTTGCATCTTCACTTGCTAAGTATAAGCTTACTTCGCTATGTTTTAAAAGCACATCTTCTTGATTGGAGGTATCGGAAATCATCAACCAGTCGTTACATATGCTTTAGTATTATTGAACTAATAAGCAATTTCGGATATTTTAGGTGAAACGAGACGATTGTATTGGCATGTCGTTGTAATTTTATGAAACAATGGTCTGGTTTACATCGTCAAAACATTAGTACGTGTATTAAATTTGATGCGCACCAATGCTTTAATATGGATGCATTTACGTCGAACGTACTAAAGGAAAAATATAATACGAATTTAATTCATGTCGATTGCCTCCTAGTGGTAGTATTTGGAATTGTAATTTGCTTGAAATAGCTTTGTTCGACAGTCAGAATGCATAATTCTAAAAATGTTCTCGTTTCTTCTTCTCTCTAATTTATAATTGTATTGGCATGTCGTTGTAATTTTATGAAACAATGGCCTGGTTTACATCGTCAAAACATTAGTACGTGTATTAAATTTGATGCGCACCAATGCTTTAATATGGGTGCATTTACGTCGAACGTACTAAAGGAAAAATATAATACGAATTTAATTCATGTCGATTGCCTCCTAGTGGTAGTATTTGGAATTGTAATTTGCTTGAAATAGCTTTGTTCGACAGTCAGAATGCATAATTCTAAAAATGTTCTCGTTTCTTCTTCTCTCTAATTTATAATTGTATTGGCATGTCGTTGTAATTTTATGAAACAATGGCCTGGTTTACATCGTCAAAACATTAGTACGTGTATTAAATTTGATGCGCACCAATGCTTTAATATGGGTGCATTTACGTCGAACGTACTAAAGGAAAAATATAATACGAATTTAATTCATGTCGATTGCCTCCTAGTGGTAGTATTTGGAATTGTAATTTGCTTGAAATAGCTTTGTTCGACAGTCAGAATGCATAATTCTAAAAATGTTCTCGTTTCTTCTTCTCTCTAATTTATAACCCTTAATTTATAACCCTTAATTATAAATTATAACCCTTAATTTATAACCCTTTTTACAAGACATTTTACTATAATTAATTTGAGAGAAACCAACGGTTACCGATAACTCCGACTTTAACTAGGTTAGGTTCCCTCCAATATTAGTTTCACACGTTTACATCGTCATTTGTGTCATTTGATATACATATTAGTACGGTTTATTGAAAGTCGCTCCAGCCCATGGCTAGATCAATAAGGTTAGCAAAAAAAACAACAATTGCAAATAGAATCAGAGCATGAAAAACCATATTGGACATAAGAAGCATTTTCCAAAAATTTTACAGTATTTATAACAACTTATTGCAAAATTGATTTTTACAATGTACTTCTTATGTTCAATATAATTTTGCTCCCGATATACATATTAGTTTAGTACGATACTCCTACTTGGTACGCTCGTGCCAAATTGATCCGTCAGTGTTTACATCGTGTGTATTAAATATTTAGTACGAATTTGATACGAATATAGTATCTGATACACGTATCAAGTGCACGATGTAAACCAGGCCAACGTATGCAAAGGATGGTAGAAGATCACAAACCAAAACGGTACTTAGATTTTCATCGCATTAAAATAAACGTCTCAATTAGTGAGCGCGTTGTAATTAGTGACACTTTTGTATCCGTTTCTTTTAACTCATTAAAGTTCATGGCTAGACCAGTAAAGTTAGCAGAAAAACAACATTTGCAAATAGGACCGGAGCATATCATATCATATTGGACGGGAGCAAAATTATATTGAACATAAGAAGTACATTGTAAAAATCAATTTTGCAATAAGTTGTTATAAATACTGTAAAATTTTTGGAAAATGCTTCTTATGTCCAATATGGTTTTTCATGCTCTGATTCTATTTGCAATTGTTGTTTTTTTTTGCTAACCTTATTGATCTAGCTGGAGCGACTTTCAATAAACCGTAATGCTTATTTCATTTTTTGGATAAATGTAAAACGCTACGAGGAAAATTGATACATGTTTTTTATGTAACTTTTTCCGTCTTATATTCCGACGGCTAAGAGGTGTCTTTTAAACGTTTTATGTCCCGATTTTAGACGTTGTTTGTGAGGGAAATTAATAATATATGTTTGATTCTATATCGATTTGTAATATTCCAATAATGATTATTTCTTGCTTTTCATATTAATAAATTTATATATTTCTCTCTTTATTTTCACGATGAGACAGGTTACTTGACATTATAATTATAGTAATGTATATATATTATAATTATATATTATATATTACAATTATATATAAGAAATACACATTCAATTTTATTAATAAAATTTTATTTTTATTATTAATATAATTATTAATAGAATTATTAATAGAATTTTGTTATTAATAAAGAATTTACATTCGAACGAACTTATACAAATTTTTATTTTAACAAAAATTTTATTGAATAATGACTGCTTTATGATGAATTATATCGCGCTATAGATTGGCAATTGCATCATTCGGAAATTCATTTCGGGTATCCATTGTGCATTGTGTGGCGAGGTGCACCTGCGGTTTTACGATTGCTAAAACCGGAAGGACACTCCCGCGGACATGTTTCACCTGTGCTTCTCTCCTCTGTCGGATGTGAGATAAAAGCACAATGAATATGTTAAAAACGGCATTTATCCACATACTAATCGGTGCCTGTATAGTGTAATGCACCCATTTTGGATACGTTTAAAATGTTTTACGCAATTTGTGACACGTCGCCGATGATTAAAGCTTGATTTATAATGTGTTATTTGTTTCCTGTTATTTTTTCTTTATCTCTTTCTGACTCAAACCTTAAACCTTAAACTAAAAAAAGATGGAAAACAAGCAAAGGAAGCAAACAACAGGAAAACAATAAGAAGCAAAGATCACACTGTAGATCAAGCTTAAGAGAGTCAAGTTTGATTGATAAAATGTTGTTTTTTTCTTCTCTCTCTTGTTTTTTAGAAACGATTATTTTTCTTGATATTCCTAAATTTTATAAATCCTCACAACTTCTTAAAATTTATCATATTACTAAATTTTATTATTAAAATTTATTAATATTTATTAATTTTATTATTAAAGTTTAATGCGCATATATCTTTTGTATGCAAGAAATTGATTTCAATGGCATTGAAATCTATCTTCCATAAATTTTCATTTCTGATAGTATAATTTATATGGACAGATCAAAAGAATATCTAACTTTTATTAATGAATAAAAACACTGATCTATTTGACTTGTCATTGAGTTGCAATACTTATTATTGTAATACTGTAATATATTTGGAAATAAAAAAGTTTTCTAAACTAGTATTTAAATTATAAAACTTGTAAAAACTAAAAATCATTTTATTAATGAGTCGTAATTACAATCTTGCCTTTTTGTTAAGACGGTGGCGACTCATAGCAGAAATTATGAAACTAATAAAACCGTAACAGGTTGCTTAGCCAAGTTTCAAACCAGTTAAATGCTTCTTTCTGGTTAAATCAGAGAGAAGCTTGAGAGCGGCAACTACCTTCATTTTAGTGGCCAAAGCTAAACTCATTTTCGAGACGCCATCTAACAAAGTGTGCCTTTACTACGTTCGTTAGGCGCATTTTCGCGGTGGTAACGATAAAATGCGTCTGATTCATGCCCGTTATACTTCCGTACAATGATAGTAAGTTAGAAAAGGATAATGTTCAATCGCTCTGTTCTTGTCTCACTACTGATGACCGCGCGACATAGGCACGAAGCGAGCTAGCGGCGAACTTATCGCAAAGCTAGATCATCTCTCATCAGTCTCGTTTTTCTCGCGCTGCGAGATAACGGCCCATATTCTGAAACTTTTTTTTATCGATAAAAGCTTCTTTTAGAGGCTCATTTATCGTTAAAAGAGAATTCAGAATACGGGCCAACGACTTTAGGTCTATGCGCAGGACAGATGCCACTGCACATGCGCGAGAATTCGAATATATACTACTTGGAACGCGTGGTGCCTCTTGAGACGTGCGGGATGAGAGAGAGGTTCCTTGTTTCCTCTCTTATCCTTATTTGGTTCACAGTGTCAAGAGTGGGGAGAATGTGATACAATCCAAGTTAAAAGTTAGAGATAATGGCCTGGTTTACATCGTGCACTTGATACGCGTACTAAATAATAACTTTCTATTAAATAATCTTAATATCGACGATATATATAAACAACGGTACATTAAGCTGGTATAATACTCATCAACAAAACGTATTGTAATGATTGAATGCGTCGCCGTTGATATGCATTGCCGATATTAATATTATCTAATAGAAAGTTTCTATTTAGTACGTGTATCAAGTGTATGATGTAAACCAAGCCAATATAAAAAGCAGTAATCACTGAGAGCCAACGCACATCCGTAACATGTTACGTTATATTAAATATTGATAATACAATGGCCATACTTGTACGTAAACTTAAACTTAAGTCAGCGCCCAATGAAATCCGTAAACTTAACATGTTACGGATGTTCTTATGCGGAGGCTCTGAATGGCAGTGACTTAAGCTTATGAATGAAAGTTTAAGATATAAAAAAATATTTTTTTTTCTCATTTATTAATATTCACTTATCGACTTATTATTAAGAAAAACAAAGCAAAGGTTCCTAATTCGGAGATTCAGCTTATATTTAGAAATTAGCCGACTTAGCTTTTGATTCAGACTGTACTAGACAAAGACAGAGTGCTGTTCGAGACCTACAAGCGTGCTCTCTCTCATCCCACAACACTCAAGAGGTAGCGCGCGTTCCAGGTAGTATATATTTCAGTGATCGTTACCACTGCGAAAATACGCTTAATGAACGTAGTAAAGACTCTCTTTGTTAGATGGCGCCTCAAAAATGCGTCTAGCTCTGGCCATTGAAATCAGGCTGGTGGCCGCTCTCATGCTTCCCTCTGGTTAAATGCAATAAAGCTATTTAAAGATGATGGTAGATGGCGCTATACAGACTGTTTGCCTTATTTGTAGGTTAAAATTTTGCAAGGAATTCCGTTAGATGGCATCAGAGTATCCATTATTTCATTCTTCGAATAGAAAGCAAATTCTAAATAATCAAGAACCGGTTGTTTTAACTTCTTAGTAAATGAACTGATAGTTAAATCATATATATGTCTTTGTCTAAGTTGAAGTTAAGAAACAAAGAGAGATATATAATTTAATCATCAGTCAACTTACCAAAAAGTTGGAACAACCGGCCCTAAAGTTGTTGGATATTTGAAGTACCGTCTGATACGTCTGAGTTGCGAGTCGACGCCGCTACTCAAACAGTATACGATATTTTATGAATATCGCATGAATGTCCTTAGAACATTGGTCAGTATTTATAATTGGATCTTATATTTAAGACTATCTTAAGTTTATCTTCAGATACTCAGTAGCCAATGAAATGATCCATATAGTAGTCCACCTCAAAGTAAATTTAAGGCGTTCTTAAATATAAGATCCGACTATGAATACAGACAGGTCATACAGATGTTCTCTGGACGTCTTTAGGATGTCTCTGAAAGATTTGTGCTATTAGAATATGATGATGTATGACGTATGTTCATCAATTTTAGTTTAGTTTTTTTCATTTGTTACGAATGAAAAGTACAAGTTTTTATTTGTTACGAATAAAGAGTACAAATGAATTTGCAAGCGAAATAATAATAATAATAACTCTCTATGATATATTAGACCTTCTATAAGAACTTGTACTTAGCGAGATAGACACATTCCTAACGTTTTCTTTTCTTTTGGCTAATTAAAAAAAATTATTCTTTGAATAGGCAGTATAGACTTTTCTAGACAGCACAAAATCTTTAAGGGATATCCTGGGAATGTTCTCAGGACGTAGAGACGTTCTCAGAATATCTTTAGGATACATAAATACTTTCCTTTGACTTTTATTATACAAAATCGAAATAATATTAGAGTTAAAAAATTAAAAAAAACCTGATTTATAATAATAAAATATAAATTTTTGAGCCATTTAAAATTTTATATTAATATTTTCTATTGTGAGTAAATAAAGTCAAGCAACGTGTTACTAACCAAAATGAAGTTTCATACAAGTGTATGATATGGATTCGGACAATAAAAGCAATTTTAATTTATAAATAATTGACATCGAGCATATGAGAGAACGAGGTAAAATTGATTGGCAAAATAGACCGATGAAATTAAAAGCTGGCAAGAAGGTTGTGGAGACTTCTCGCGGAATTACTGATCAGGATATATATTTATATATGGCCTTCTTATCCTGCGCTACTGGATAACTGTGTCCGTTATCAAGGCAAGATAATTCTTGCATTTTTGCATATTGGTTATTACAATTACAAAATAAAGCATACAGTTAACAGGATCGTGGCGAGCATTAACACATTGAAAAATATTGTATCTATTACGTTTATGCAGTCAGTTATAACAATTAATTGTCAGAGAAGTTGTAATTTCGAAATTCTGAAATATGAAATATCTAGCCTCGGTATTCTCTATACTTAGGCTGTGTAAACGCTTTAATATTTTACTAGGTATAAGGCAGGATTGAGAAAGTTAATGCGATTGATCTACGAGTGACGTTATTTATTTCGTTGACTTTTACAGTGTAGTTATCAGAGTAAAGACGCGTTAGATCTCTGGAGCCTTATTCTGGACGCACATTGGGTTAAATGTAGCTTTTAGTTTAAATTTCGTTTTCATTTTTATGTAAACGTCACGTCTAACACGGTTTTAGTTTGAAGATCAGGAAGACATTTGAAAGACATTTTGTATTTGCTACGTGCCCAAAATATGGTCTCTGAACGTTAGTTCTGAAATCAAATGCGCCAAGAATCTAGAAATAAAATATTTATTTACACTTTTCTATACTTAAAATGTACAGTTTTATTTTTTCTACTAAAAAGAAAACTAATACAACATTTCACACGTACTAAGTGCAATTTTATTGTTCTACTGTGAAAATTAGTTTACATATCTTCATTGTTTAATATTTTACTGATAAAAGTGCAAGAAAATTATACTAAGTACAACTTTTGCTCTATTGTCTTCAAAGAGGGATGCAAATTTAGATTCGTGTTTTAAGACATATAATATTTAGGGACATTATTCTAATTAACAACAATATTGTTTTTAGTTTTGACATGTCTAATAATAATTGCACAATAATATTAACATTTTGACGTTTAAAAATCCTGAAAATTTTGAAAACAAAATAATTGAATCAGGATATCCATATTAAGGTAAAATAAGCAATTCAAATTTATATTATATTCGAGACAGAACAAAAATCAAAATAATGATATCAAAATGACAAGAAAAAACTCACTTTTCAATTACGATTAGATCATTTTCTCGTCATTTTGATGCCATTGTGATTTTCTATTTTACTTGAATTATTTTACAAATCTGCTCGCACGACTACAAGTGTCATTTTATAGATATATCTTTTTACTTCAACGTATTTTGCAAGAATTTTGAGAATATATTTCCTCATTTCTGACGCCATTGATAAAAAAATTCCACAGCGAGAAGAGTCTCAAGTCGAAACGATAGTATTGAATAATCAAAAATATCAAAGCGATCTCACAGAATATCGAAGTTCTACGTTTTCCAATATGGAATCGCAAGTCCGCTTGCGAGCAGTATAGAGGCATAGAGGCATAGAAAGTGTATAGATGTCAAAGCGGAGATATTCACCGGGATAGAGGCGTCCACTGCCACTGATAAATTTATCATTCGCGTCTATTTGCAACTGAATCAATAATCGATGCGTTAGGTACACTTGCACAAGCGTTGTCGCGAAAACGATGCGATTCCAACCTGTTCTACGCCACCAATTTTCAGTTTAGCGTTGGACGGAGATTTCGCGCAAATGCTTTCCGTGTAACCGTAACAGTTTCCGCTTGTAAAACAACACTGACGAGAAAAAAATCCTTGCTTTAACCTTTTCGATCGTATTGCTAGTGAATTCAGCGCATATGTCATCGCCAGCTGTGCCTAGATAATAGAATATTATTCGAATCTCTCGCGCTTTGCCACTTGCGTGTGCACAATGCGACAAATAAGTTCGAGTTTGCGCTCAGTATTAAATAGATACATGAGCATTCATTAATAAACTAACTAGTCGTTTTTTATTATCGTCAATTGCAAAGTGACAGATAAACAGTGTCCATGCACGCGTCCGACTCGCGATTTACGATTACCATTGACATGAGCAAGCGGGGTCACCGCTTCCGCGACTATCGTTCGTACGAGTACAAATATATATGCACATAAATGAAGATTCAAATGTGCGTTGTTGTTTGCGCGCGTGCGATGGACTTTATTTACGATCAAGTCAAACGGCAAAAGTTCGTATCTCCTCGCGTAGCACAAAAACATTACACCAACATGAAATTTAAGAAGATTGTAATTGAGTTATTAAAATGTGATAGCGACGTTATTATGATCACTTAAAATGTTACTTTCCGGTACTATTAGGCTGAAGTCGATGACGAACTCAAAAGATGTCGATAACGTAGAGACGATTGTCACTGACATAATCACGCTATCTTTTTCGCCCTTCTTATATATACAGAACTTACGTAAATGTGTGTTGTTTTGTTTTACCATATTCAGCGGAAAACCTAACCACGCATACATAGAAGTCTTTGCAAACTTTTCGGATATTCTTAAGCTTCTGAATTCAGATACGAAGGTACAGCAAAGTTCTTGAAAATTTTTCTGTTTGAAGCATCCACACTTTCGGTATGCACAAGCTGCGAAACTTTTGGATTAGGCAAATATTACGTTAATTAATAGCTTGAGATTTTACGTTAAATTTTTTTTCGTTTTCGTCACATATTCAGCAATGCTCCTATTTACTTTTGCACGTATCTTCACTGCGTAAAGGCATTAGTAATTCTGTACAACAAACACAACGTAAGCTTTGTAAAAAAAATGTAAGTATATTGTCGGCAAAGTTGAGTGTATGAAGTTGGCACCCCACTTTTTGAAATTTATAATTTTGAAAGTTGTTCCAGATTGTTCTGACTTTGTACCACATTGTTCCAAAGTGATATTGCTTCATTCGAAACGGTTTTCGAATAAAACAAAAAAAATTATTTTTTGAGCTGGCACTCCACTTTTTGAAAATCGAACATTTTGATACCACAATAGATTATTCTAGTTGTTCCAAACATTGTTCCAAAAGGACAAATCAATAAGTTTAATTATAAGCCCGAAAAGTTAAAAAAAATTTTTTGACAAACAGTCTATCGGACCAAGAGTAAACTTATACTATCTTTCTTGTTCCAACCGAGATCTTTTTGTTCTGAGTTGTGCTAGGCTTAAGAATTATAGTTTTAGAGTATGAGACTCGTAGCGTCATCCGTTCTTCGAAAATTCGAAAAAAAATCGATTTGACAGTACCCGACGTCAAGAGAAAACACATGCTTCCTTTCTTGTTCCAACTGAGATCTTTTTGTTCTGAGTTATACTAGGCTTAAACGACGAAGCAATTTCACTTTATTTTGTCATGACATTTTGTAATTATTTCCGCCAATTTTTCTATAATAAAGATTAATTTTTGTAAGAAATCATCTTTTTCTTGAATTTTTGTCACCAGAAATATATTTCAATCATCCTTATTTTCAATCATCCAAATAATTATACTTTTTTAAATCAGTATATAGAACTTTTTTTTTAAGAAAATAGTTTCACCTAAAACACCTGAAAATATTTTCGTTCATTTTAATATGTTGTTAAGTTATGAATTTTTTTTTACAAAATTACATTTTTTGTCAATTTCGGCAAATTTAAATTGTTATTGCAAAAGATTGTTAATAAATGACTAAAATAACTATTGGGACATAAAATATAATCTCTCTAGAGTATCCCAGAATTTTTTCAGATTTTTTAGATGATCGATTTTTTTTCGAATTTTCGGAGAACGGATGACGCTACGAGTCTCATACTCTAAAACTATAATTCTTAAGCCTAGCACAACTCAGAACAAAAAGATCTCGGTTGGAACAAGAAAGGAAGCATGTGTTTACTCTTGACGTCGAGTACTGTCAAATCGATTTTTTTACGAATTTTCGGAGAACGGATGACGCTACGAGTCTCATACTCTAAAACTATAATTCTTAAGCCTAGCACAACTCAGGACAAAAAGATCTCGGTTGGAACAAGAAAGGAAGTATGTGTTTACTCTTGATGTCGAGTACTGTCAAATCGATTTTTTTTCGAATTTTCGGAGAACGGATGACGCTACGAGTCTCATACTCTAAAACTATAATTCTTAAGCCTAGCACAACTCAGGACAAAAAGATCTCGGTTGGAACAAGAAAGGAAGTATGTGTTTACTCTTGATGTCGAGTACTGTCAAATCGATTTTTTTTCGAATTTTCGGAGAACGGATGACGCTACGAGTCTCATACTCTAAAACTATAATTCTTAAGCCTAGCACAACTCAGGACAAAAAGATCTCGGTTGGAACAAGAAAGGAAGTATGTGTTTACTCTTGATGTCGAGTACTGTCAAATCGATTTTTTTTCGAATTTTCGGAGAACGGATGACGCTACGAGTCTCATACTCTAAAACTATAATTCTTAAGCCTAGCACAACTCAGAACAAAAAGATCTCGATTGGAACAAGAAAGATAGTATAAGTTTACTCTTGGTCCGATAGACTGTTTGTCAAAAAACTTTTTTTTAATTTTTCGGGCTTATAATTAAACTTATTGATTTGTCCTTTTGGGACAATGTTTGGAACAACTAGAACAATCTATTGCGGTATCAGAATGTTCGATTTTCGAAAAGTGGGGTGCCAGCTCAAAAAATCATTTTTTTGTTTTATTCGAAAACCGTTTCGAATGAAGCAATATCACTTTAGAACAATGTGGTACAAAGTCAGAACAATCTGGAACAACTTTCAAAATTATAAATTTCAAATGGGGTACCAACTTCATACACTCGACAAAGTTTTCTGCATCAGCATCCTCTCAAATCCGAACATTAATAGACGGTGTCTTTGATTAATTCATAAGATGTTGCTTTGTGGTTAAATTAAAATTATTTTAATATCTATGAAAGTATAAATACTATCTTAAGATAATATTTTATACTGGTCTTCAAAAAAATTACATTGTATTTTCATGCAAAAAATTTAATTCACTGAGATGTTTTAGCAACATTTTAATAATAAAAAAATTGATTTTGGTACTATGTGGGTTAATATGTAGATCGTGTAACGTTAATCGAAATCAAAGTTGCGTTGGACAAGAATTTTGTTTTGATTTTCGTCCGCATAATAATTTTAGCCTTTAAAAAAGGATGTCAGAACCGTGATTGTTACCAGATTGCGCAATATTATTGATTAATATTATTTGCAGATTTTTCCAGCTTCACAGAATTGCAAATGCATCTATAGTGTGAATGTACGTATCCAGCCGGAACAAAAAATTACGATGACGTTGAAATAATGTCAAAATGACGAGAAAATGATTTAAAAACTCACTTTTTATTCACGGTTCGATTATTTTCTCGACATTGTGATTTTTGCTTTACTTGGATATGTTAATGCATTTCAGTATTATATATGTTTTACAAAATATAAAAAAAAATTTTATAACTATTATTTTATATGGTATCTAACCTTGCATTCTATTTTCGCTATATGTAAAAAATTGAGAGTTTATATATGTAAAATAAAATATCATATCACCGATATTCGGACGACATGTGAGAAGATCATAAGACCATCAGAATAATTTGGAAGACAAATTTTTTTAAAAATTTGCAAACAACAATTTAGCTATACACATATATATACTGATAAAACACACACACACACACACATATATACATGTATATTATTAAATAGGATAAAGAAGGGCAACACACACACACACACACGCACACACACACTAGTTCCCGAATAATCCGTTCCAGGCATTAATGTTGTCTATTCAATAATGTGAATGAACTGAATGTACATACATGTATATACATACACTAGATATATGTGCGTGTACACTTACATGAAGACATACAAAGTATTACTCATGTCCGCATCACTCTAGCGATTGACGACTGCATTTGTGTCGCGTTTGCGTCTATGATTGTCTCTTGAGCATTCAGATAGAAACTGCTGACAATCGCGATTCGCGATTCTCGTTTAGCCGTCCGTCTATTTTCCATAATTGTCAGCAGGTTTTTTTTAATTGGTTAAGTGACAATCATAGAGGCAAACGCGATGCAGACGCAGTCATTAATTTCTAGTGTGATGCGGACATAACGCCTCTAATTCTAATGGCGGAGTTCTATGGCACGTATTTTCGCGTAACGCGTAACCGCGTAACCAATCGCATCTTTCTATTCTTTTAGAAGTTCCAACAGAAATACTAAACGTCGCAATTTATTGATTACGCGCTTACGCGGTACGCGGAAAATACATGCCATGGGACTTCAGCCTAAGTATTAGCAAACTACCTATACGGTACATTGTATACTTTATGCGGTACACTGTTCTTTTTTACTTATATTTTTCGATTTCTCACAGGATCCCGGCATTCCCTTAATGGCTCTTACATACAAGACGCGGCAACGCTTGCCGCGCGGCGGAAGTTGCGGTAAGGAGAAATGATTTTTCTGAAGTTTTCTCACATAGCACGTAGTGTTGCGTTATAAGCAGTTGTTTTGTATATACATAAACTGTATACAATTATTGGCTGCTGCACATCAACGAAAAAAAGATTTTATAGTAATCATCATGACAATAGTTATCAGATACTGAAATAGTGAAATAGTTTCAACTAAACATGTAGGTAATAATTTCATGAATATTGATAAATAGCAAGGCTTGTATAGCTGTTGCCAAGACTTGTATCTATCGCTAAAATTTAGTGATTTTACTTATTATTAATTTATGTAGTACATATCATCAAATAATTTATTAAAATGATATTGTTTAATAATATTTACCACAATATATGATACACGGAAACAAAAGATTTGGTTGAATTAATGAAATGTCTGGTCGAATATGAACGATCCAGAAATTCTGACTGAAGTAACCCGAATTCTGTTTAACTTAACAAGATTTTTGGTAGACTAACAGAACATATTGTCTGGTTATTTAATCAGACATGTCTGGTTATTTAATCAGACATGTCTACCAAAAGACTTGTTAACTTACAATCTTCTTAAACATTATCTTGTTAAATAGAATTCGAGTTACTTTAATCGGAATTTCTGGATCGTTAATATTCGACCAGATATTTGGTTAATTCAACCAAATCTTTTTTTTCCGTGTAAATATACGAAATGTGATCAAATTTGGCAATAGTTGCACTGTTTAGTAATTATTACGAAATTATTTTGTATGAACCAAATTAATTTATTGGTTCAACTAAATAAAGAATATATTTTACTAATCATTTTATAATTATTATCAAATGATTAGTAATTATTACTATATTTGATACTAATTACCAAAGATAGCACTGAAAGACTAAACCAAATGCATTTGTTCATTATTATAAGACTTTTTTCTGCGTAGGACATAACAACACTTGCCGCACAGTAAAAGTTGGATTGAGTTCAACATTTTCCGCGCAGCGGAAGTTATGTATCTATTCTTTCCGGGCAAACGAGACGTTGATTGGCCACCGCGGTATTCTCTAGCCAACTTCCGCTACGCGGCAAGCATTGCCACCTTCTGTGTGCAGGAGACATAAGGCTTTTGGCTATTCGCCGCGGAAATCTTGATTGATGATATCAGAAACGAGAAAATACATACTCAAAATTCCTGCGAAATACGTAAATGAACAAATATATCCATAAGAATAACGCTTATAATCGATCGAGATTGATCTGTAAAATAGTCTGAACATCTTTCTTTTGCTCTAACAATCAATAAATTGTAGACAACGGTTCCTCTTTCTCGAAAATGCGGGCGTAAAAATATCTTTTTCCATGATTCTATAACGTTAATTTTGCGGTAATTTATTAATTGTTAGAGTAAAAAGAAACCTATTATTTTACAGATCTAGACATGTATTATGGAACTTTTTTAAATGAATTTTGATCGTAATTATTTAGTTATTCCTCAGATTATTTTTTTCTCGAGAAAACAGAATTATTTCGATCGGAATCAAATCCGCAGAGTTCCATAATACGTGTTTTATTATCTGGCTTAATTGATTGCAGATGTCATTTTGTGAACATATATTTTTTTATTTCTATATATTTTGTAGGAATTTTCAGCGTGTATTTTCTCTCACTTTTGATCAATCAGGACTTCCGTAGCGAGTAGCCAGGAGTCTTAATGGATTAATTTGAAAGAATTATTTGCGCCTACGTAGCATTTCGTATTAAATGTTAAATAGCTTTATTAATAATCGTATAATTGTTGATTTTGCACACAAATGAGCGTACATTTCCATTAAGGCTATGCAAGAGATGTTTATTCGTTGTTCGGGTATTTTTTCCAGCGACAGATTGATCGTTGTGAAGGAGGAAAAGATTAAGATATTCCAAAGGCGCACCATATCCTCATGAGGAAGTAGATAAATGCGGCTTCCGTTTCATCGTGCACAGTAATCGCGACAATCGCGACAAAAACTGTAACGCGCTTCTGCTACGAAAGAGGTCGTCAAAAGGAGCGAAAATGAGTTCAACTAAATTCAACTACTTTTATCAGTAATAAAATTATATACTCGGCGAGTAAGCCAATTAGGTCTATACATATCTAACGAAACCTTACGTTTATTCGAGAGATACACTGACAGGGCTGTATTTAAAGTTGCGCGAACCCCTTTAAGATTTCATTTTTTTCAAAAGTTTCTACAAAAACGTCTAATTTTCGCATGATTTTATTTAACTTTTATTTTATTTTTATTGCATAAATTGATTACATTTTTATTTTTACTGCATTTTCTCTCTCTTCTCTCTCTCTCTCTCTCTCTCTCATATACATCCTATTCTTTCCTTCTCTTTTTTCATGTGCAATTTTTTATTACACACGATACTTTGTCCTCACCGAAGTTCTTTTCTCGGTGAACGGTCCAGGGCCATTTGAGAGGTAAACCTTCGAGCAAAACGACTTTCAGAGCCTGCAGTAATGTACTTTCACATTTGTGAGACCAAGGCATTGAATCGTTGGAAACTCGTTTCGTACTATGAGAAGGAGTGAGAGAGAAAGGGAGAAGTGGGGGTGGGGAGGGGAAGCAGAGAAAGATAGGAAAGGAGAAAGAAAGAAAGAAAGAACGCGAAAGGCCGAATCGAATTTTTCGCAGTCGTATGTCAGAATGGATTTCCTGGTGAGTAAATTGTTGAAAACAAGTCACCTAAGATGAACTCCTAAAACATTTTCTTGCACTTTTATTAGCTATTAAGGTATTTCAGACGTTCAAAGTTAAGCGAGACACTTTATAAACATACCATATACCATTTATATCATATAGATATCTATTAATATAGATATATATATCTATATATATCTATATATTTCTATATATATCTATATATATCTATATATATCTATACATATCTATATATATCTATATATATCTATATATATCTATATATATCTATATATATCTATATATATCTATATATATCTATATATATCTATATGATATCTAGATATCATATTATAGATATTTATATGATCTATTATATATATATATATATATATATATATATACATATGTATATATGTATGTATGTATAAATTCAAACTTATATTTGTTGTTAAGAAAAAAATAATATTTTAATAATATTTAAATAATATTTGTTTAAAATACAATGTATTTATTACTTGTAAGCAGGGTTTGGTAATAACTAGTTATTCAGTTAAAAGTTAAAAAATGAATAACTTCTAACTAAAAACTTAGTTAATTTTAAGTTAGTTAGCTTTACACTTAAATTAATTATTTTAAGATGCATTAACTTTAACTTATTAACCTTTTTTTATATAAGTTAAAATAATTCATCAATATTAAAATTATTGCGGATTGTTGAAAAACTACATTTTCATTACTTCACATAAAAATGTACGATTAAAAAGTACAATTAAAATGTCCATTATGCAAAGAACATATATATCTTTTCCCATAATTAAACTTTATCTTTAATAAGTTAAATTTAATTTAACTTTTGCTTCAGTTTTTGTTTACGTTTAACTTAAATCAGTTTTTAAGTTAACTAAGTTTATTTTATAATCCATTACCTTTAAATTTAACTCAGAGAAAAAAGTTAATTTATCAAACATTGCTTGCAAATATAAAGATATTTCTCAAGTAGCACGAGATATCTCAAAATTTACCTAACCTAGAAAATATCCAAGATATTCTAACAAATATCCTATAAGATATTCCTATAAGATATCCTATAAGATATCCTTTAAAACATTCAGGATTACCTTAATATGTTGTGAGAGAACTTTTGAGTTTATTCGTGACTTTTTTGAAAGTGTTCCAAATAGATCCAACTGTGACATCGGATCATTTTTCTTTTCTTTCTATTTGTTAACCTTTGATCAGCTGTAAAACTTTCGAGAAATACATGAAGGTATTCAGCTTAAAAATAATAGATGCAAATTTGTTTTACTTGATAAAACTTGAATCTTACTTGATAAAACAGCGCATGTATCAACCTTTACGAAATAAAATCTTTTAAATAGCATAATTTCTATTTTTCTCTGGGAGAGAGGTGTATGACTTTTTCGTGAGAAACCCTTTGCGAAACTCGCGATTAAAAAATTTCCATGTAAACTTTTCTACGGGCAGCTTTCTCTGCACTTTAAAATACGTCGTTTCAGCGCGTTTACGATTTACAGATTCGTCTTGGATTCGTCTCTTGGATATTCTTTTTTTTCAGTTAGTGTCTCGAACTATTTGCGCCGAAATTATCGCTCCGGAGTTGTAAACTCGGCCAAGAGCTACCGTCTTGACGGTTGACGACGTCGCGACACGTATTATTGTAAATGATTCGGCGCACGAGCTCCGTCGACAACTCTTTCCGCAAAGAAAAAAAAAGAAAACATTAGCATTCAATATGACACACACACACACACACACACACACAGAGATAGCGATCTCCCATCGTGATGATGAATCGTCGGAACAATTTTGGACGGTTACGTAGAATAGTTCGCTGGTGCAACGGTAGAAGCGCATAGCTGTTCCTGGAACAGCGAGCTTAAAAAAGAACGCGCGCCTGTTATATTTAGCTAAACACACATCTGCGGTTCATCGGAGTCAAGCCATGGGTCTTTGTCGGTGCGGTTCTATTATTTAAATAGCATTTTTGCCACACGGCACTGGCGAATCCAACAAACGCGGTTGTGAAAGTTCTCGGGACGATATATGAAATCCGACTCATCTTCTGCCACCGTTCTCACATACAGACGCGATTATAAGTCGCCGGCTCAGTCTCACGTAGACCCATTGTTTTTGTATTTTTTCGTAGGAAATCAGTCCGGCGCGATGCGGCGTGAAAGGAGAATGAGAAACCGACGCGCGACGGTAGAAACTGTTACGGTCGTGCTCCATATAGCAATGTCGAAGCTGACGTTACGAATGTAAGTCGTAACGTTACTCGGCGACGGGCAAACAGGAACATCTCGAGTCGGTCATCATGTATCTTGTTTCTCTTGTAAATGATCAATACCGAGTCGGAGAATAGTCGAAATTTACGAAAAGTGGAACTGAGCAGACCTTGTCTTTTGTTGAGTAAACTTTCAAAGAACATTTTCGACCACCTGATAAAACTTGACGCTTCATCTGTGAGACGACGAATAACATTTCATTTTGTCAAAGTTAACTCATCATTTGTTATCAACTGCACTGAGTTGAATATAAAGTTTATTCGTAGAAATTAATTTGATTTCTGCGAACTTTGTACACCACAAATAAAGCGGTCAGGTTCAGTCTACTTTATTCAGAAAAAAGTTTTCAATCCAAATTGTACTTATTTTATAGTGCGTTGATTACGATTATGCAACATAATCCATTTAAAATTGCATTCATAATTTTCATAAAATAAAAATGTTAATTTGCAATGCAATTTATTTCTTGATAGCTTACGACTTTAACTTTACTAGTGGTTTCAAAGAATAATCAAATTGTGTCAATTAATGCAATTTGGCCGTGCCAATCGTTTGAGAATTTACTCGAATTTATCGGACGCTTTTGAGATCTAATTCAGACATCCTTTTTCCAAAAACAACACCTAGGACTGTCACTGCCACTCGCTGAAGATGAATTTATTATTTGCAAATCGCCATAGTTTGACTTTTTACTTGTGAAAATAAGTGGCGCCATCTAGTGGGGTGCAATTTTAAATGGGCCATTTTTTCCGAAACAGTACGATGATCTACTTTGGGACTTGCATCTTCGAAATCGGCGCGTCAAAAAATCATAAAATAAGACCAATTTGCATTCAAACTTTTTTCCTGAATAAAGTGGGTCACTAGCCTATAAGCACCTGGCCGCACTCTTTCCAAGTATTTTTCCCTCAGTGCAGGAACATCCCTCCCCATGCTTTCCGTTTGCTCACGTGGCGAATTTTTTGCAAGAAAAGCCGCGTGTATCACCAGGAAGGAGAGCAACGAAAGGTGGAGCGGCATAAACCGTATCTACCACTCGTCGCGAACGAACGAGGACGAAACGAGTGCAAAAGGATGCTTGTCGGGCGACATCTCGAAACATCGTGCCTTGTGCACTTTTTGACCGTATGAACCGTGTCGTTTAGTAAATGCGTCCGTTACAAAACGAGTATTTCCCAAAGTCTCATGACGACGTCCTCGCCGTCGTCGTGGTCGCAACCGTGACTCACGGCGGCGGAATCGGGGCCAGGGCGCCGGGGGCGCCCGCAGTGTCGCCGGCACTGCGGCCGACAGGCAGCAGCGCCGCGACGGAAACAGCCGAGCGCGCCCCCACCACGCGCTCAGTCGGGCCCGAGCGGTAGCCCGATCAAGTCCGATCGGGGTTGTGCGCGGCGGAGCGATTAGTAGCGATTCAGCGGCAGCAGTGACAACAGTGCGGCAGCGCACCGATAACGCAAGAAGGAGGAGGAGGTGGTGGAGGAGGCGACGACGAAGGAGAAGAGTCGAATCGAGTTGAGTTGAGAAGAGAAACGAAGTGAAGTGACAAAGAAAGAGAGGGAGTGGGGCAAAGAGACGAGAAAGTATGATCGCTGTTGTCCACTGAACCGTGGCACCGAGGAGCTGCCGTTTCGGGAGGCAGCTGGTCGAGCGTGAGGTCCACGACGACGGGTATCGAGGGCGCGCGTGCGAGGCTCGCCGCGTGGAACATGTACGTGACGAAGGTGGCCGACGGCAGTGCGGAAAAGTGGCGAAAACTGTGAGAGTGGTAGTGGTCCGGTGTTGCCGTCGGTGGCGATAACAGTGGTCGTAATAGCGGCAGCAACAGCAGCGACTGCGGCGACGGCGACGGCGGTGGCAGCGGTGGCGGCGGTGCGGGCAGTTGCGACGGAGACGGTGAGGAGGTGCTCCGATGGTACTCCGGTGTACGCGCGTGCGGTGGTAGAGAAAAGTGTCGCGCGCGTGCTTTTCCACTGGTGGTGGTGGTGGTGGTGTGTGCGCGTGTTGCAACGACACGCACTCGGTTGGCGAGGTCGTGTCTCGTCCTCGTCGTTGTTGTCATCGTCCTCGTCGTCGTCGTCGTCGTCGTCGTCCTCGTCGTCGTCGTCGTCGTCTCCGTCTGTGTTTCACTCCGTCCCATTGCCGCGCGCCGTCATCGGCGGAACGGTCGTCGTCTCATTCGCTCGTGACGAGTCGCTCCGGCGGCAGCGGCAACTCTCCCCCCTCCACGGCGCGCCGTCGCCGTCGTCGACGCTTCTCTCAGTCGCTCTCGCCGGGAGCCACCGCACCGAAGGCGTTTGTGCGACAAGCCAGGGCCAGCTCTGCTACGCAAGATGGCTGTGTGTCGCTGACGAGAGGCCGACATAGCGGACGGAGGTACGGACAGACTGTGGATAAGCGGAACATGCGGCTACGTGATCGTCGGGCCCGTCCCTGAAGAGAGAGACACTGGCCAAGAAGTGAGAGGTGAGTGAATTTCTCTGCTTGCGTACGCCGCGTCTCTGCCCTTCTCCCTCTCTTTTTCTCTTTCTTTCTCTCTCGTGCAACAGTGGATTTTTCGGTCATCCGTCTCTCTTCGTCTCCCTCTCTCTCTTTATCGCGTACGACGGCACGACCGTCTGTCCGTTCTCACACGGCAAGAACCTTCTCGGAAATATGCCTTAGCCTTCTCCTCGACGGCGACTATATCGACGGGGTACAGAGCTCGACCTCGACGTGACAGGCCGACGGAAGAGAGGCGTTTGAACGGCGCTCGGCTTGGCGTACACGCGCGTGTATGCACGTACGTGGGTACGTGCGTGTGTGTCTTCTCGCGTACCTCGTCGGCTCTCATAGCGGAGCGGGCGAGCGAGCGAGCCATACGTGGACTCTACCAGCTTCGGAGCAGCGCACACACATACATACGTATACGCCCGGCGGGCCGTACACATTGAGCGTACAAAAAGTATAAAGCGAGTCGAAAGTTTCTTTTTCCCCTCGTCCTATGGATGTGTACTCCTCTCGATAGCACGTTCGTTCGTTTACTCTTCCAACTTTACAGACAACCTATTTGGCTAATTTCTCTCTCTCTTTCGCCCCCTTTTCTCCCCTTCCCCCTTCCATCTGTCTCTTTATCACGCACACCCACCTCCTCTCTATTCGTGTACGCACGCAGATGCATACTGATATACTTTCGCCTCTCTCTAGCCGAAAATCCCCACTTGTCGTTGGGTATCTTCCACAACGACGTGGGATTATACCGCGTGTGCTCATCCTTCGCGACAAGTTTTCGCGTATCGATAACGATGTGTCTGCTGTCTCTTCTCCTTTCTCCACGTCCCTCCCTCGCATATGTATCTCTCTCTCTCTCTCTCTCTCTCTCTCTCTCTCTCTCTCTCTCTCTCTCTCTCTCTCTCTCTCTCTCTCTCTCTCTCTCTCTCTCTCTCTCTCTCTCTCTCTCTCTCTCTCTCTCTCTCTCTCTCTCTCTCTCTCTCTCTCTCGCTCGTTCACTCGCTCGCTTGCTCTCTCTTTGTCTGCCTCTGTCGATGCTGTGTTTGCTGTCTGCTGCCTCTCTCCGTCTCTGTCTTTCTGTACTCCTAACTTATTTGTGCTCTCTCTCTCTCTCTATTTAGACGAGTCGTACGCTACGCGACTGGTCGTCTATCAGCGTCTGCACTTTTTCGGCCGGCGCTTTCCCTCATGCCAGGCTCCGTCCTGTCGACTGAATGGCTCTCTCTCTCTCTCTCTCTCTCGCTCTATACACTAGAGTCGCGAAACACGAAACCGATCCCAGGCAACATCTGTCGCGCGGCTGCCCCGACCGACCTAACCTTCAAAATTGCGGGGGTGCCGTCGTCGTCGTCTCGTCGTCGTCGTCGTAGTCGTCGTCGTCATTGCCATTGCGGTACGCGCGCGAGCGACGCCCCGGTGGCGGCATTCCCCGACACGTCGACGTGCGTCTTATTTTTGTATCTCGTCCACGAGCAATCCGATCCGGCCGGACGAGCCGCATTCTACGTCGTGCGCTCTTTTTCGTGCGGCAGCCGTTATGTTTTATGTGGAACGGAGGCGAACAGCTGTGAGCAACTTTGCGATACGTACGCCCGTATAACACGTATCGCGGTGCGTGTTGTAATTTTGAAAAGTGGAGAACTCTCATCCCCGGCCTGTTCTCCTATCGTTGCTCGAGCCTGAAGCTTGGGTTTGCTTCTTAGCATCCTAACCGCTTTTCGTGCTTTAAAACGAATAGACTGACGTGGAAAGAGTGCGGGGGAGGGGGGAGTAAACGTGTATATATTGCATACGAAACGCAATGACATGTGGGTTAGATAGAGTCCCCGTGCGAGTCGGTCGACGTAACATAACCTAAAAATCGCGTGCTGCATTCGTAGAACGACTAAGGCGTGCCTAGACGCCGTACTAACGGGCGTATCTAACTCGAGGAACTGGTGTCATCGGTGCCACGAGTTGTTCACGCTTCTTGTCCTTTTCTCTTTTCTTCCTGCTCGCCTTCTGCTGTGTTATTCGCAAGGCGAATGGCGATGTGCATTTACTGACATGATCGCGGAAGTAATTTCGAAGTCGGGGCATCGTCTTCTTTCGACGTGAGCGCGTACTTCAAATTCATAATGTCGTCATTTCACGTGTTCGTCGAGGTGTATCGTGTGGCTTGCTTAAACACAGTCTACTACGACGATCGTTGTATCGCATTTCGTATTTAATGTAGTTGTATTTGGTGCCTCACGCAGCAATTAGGAAGATTATCTTTCATAAAATATCCGTTTCTGCACTTAATTATTCCTTTTGGCGAGTCGTAATTACACTTTGACGCGACGAAGATACGATGATCTATCTATGACGTCAAAGATAAGACCTGTTCTTTTTAATTGCACTAATGCTGTGTTGGCACTTCGTATTACTTTTCTTTTTCAACGCTCGGTTATACGCTTGTTTTACTATAAAAACTAAAACGTGCAATCTGACTCGACTTGAAAGAACAGTCCTTTTAAAAATCGTCACGTGGGCGTGGCGATTCGTTGTTAATCTCCAATTTTGAAGACAATACTTCGGGTCTTGATGAGTGTATCTGTCGAAATATAGCCAGTTAGGTGCTCAAATGATATCAATTTTGCATGCAATTTTCTCAATAGAATGAGATCGACAATCGTCGAAGCAATAGATACCCCTTTTTCTCAAGAAAGACTTAAGGTAATTGTATCGCTAAGTATCGTATTTTCAGTGGTGCCTCAAGGAGCGCTATTCATAAATTTACCATTTATCGAATAAAATTACGTTTCTATACATTTACTTTGCCGTCTAAGCAATATAAGTAATTTAAAACGAAGCTGCAAAAAATATACAGAGTGTTGATAAATGTCTCTTCATGGGGATATTATTAGCATTGATATGAAATTGGTAAAAACAATATTGGGTCTTAGTACCATACATTGGTGATTGTTATTAACTCCTCTCTCCTTCTATATTGACGCCATGGAATTAAAAAATGTTTTAAGCCCCCCAATCCCTTCTCTAGACACTTTTTTGGAGGGGAAACCCTGTTTTTTAAAGTTTTCTTATGACAGAAATGTTTAGATTAAAAAATAAGACGAAAAAATAATATTTTTATTTTTTATTTAAATTTGAATAATAGGACTTCTTAATTAATCAATAGGGATGCACAGATAATAGGAGATATATAAATGTATTTAAATATATGTATTTCTAGCATTACTACAAATTATAAATTTTCCATCGCTATATCTTCAAAACAAAACGGTTCTGAAAATTGTGTATAGTGTATATCTTTAATATTATTGTAGTCTGTTATCAAAATAATGTAGTTGAGAAGATATTAACTTTCCGTATAAATCACTGTTTTGCTAAAACGTGGTGTGATTTGTGGATCATCATTTCTGGATAGGATCATTTTTCTTTCAATATAAAAGAAATCAGAATAAAATTTGTTTCTCATTATTTAAGTTTCTATTTTATATTCAAAACAGAAAATAGAAACTTAAATAATGAGAAACCTGTTGCAACCTGTAAGGTATATGATTTTTTAAATCTTTTTTTTCCAAAACACAAAGGGAAACAGAACTTTCAATGCTCTGAAAGAGGAATTCGTTATGAATAACATTCTTGAAGGATAACTCTTCGCAAAAAAATTAGTTTTACATTGCACGCTGAAAAAACTTATTTCGACAATTAAAAATTGTTATTTTCCAAGAACCAAAATAAAGCGGGTTTTAAAAGGAAAAGCAAATAACTTCGACTTTTATTTGACGTTGAATATAATTCAATTAAATGTATACATAAAATAATTATAATTTCATCCAGAAATCATTTCTATCCAGAAATGATGATCCACAAATGGATTAAGGGTGGACTCTGGGATCCCTACTTAGGTAGTAAGAACTAGGTAGTAAGGGGAGTCTATACCTGCGGGCATAGCTGATTTTGTTAGTTTACTGCGAAATTGCGAGTAAGCAAAATTGCAAGTATTATCTAAAAGACTCAGGAATCACACAGTGTTAATGAAAAGTAATATTGCTGATTTTCTTTTTCTGTCTTCTTTTGCAATTGGAAAGATAATAAAAAAAATTCTACACTGCTGTGCGAGATGCGGGCAGCCAGATGGTTGTCGGGTAGCTACGATCATCGTGCAATTTTGCTCGAATTTTATCGGTAAACTATATTTTTGCAATATTTTGTAAATTTTTATTTTTGTTTCTATTATTATTTTTATATTATTATTATATATTATTATTTCAGTATTTATATTTATATATTATATTTATTTCAGTATTTAGGTATCAGTGTTAGTTTGAAACAAAACTGATATATATATATATATATAACGACTGATGTACAAATAAAGTACTTATCAGAGAAATAAAAAATAATAGCTTTTTGTCACTTATAATATATATATTATAAGTAACAAAAAGCTATTATTTTTTATTTCTCTGATAAGTATTTTATTTGTACATCAGTTTATCTAATAGAGATGTACAGGTAATAAAAAAGATATATAAATATTTAAATACGGGTATATTTCGAATATTAATATAAGTTATAAATTTTCCACCACGGTAGTGGAAACAAAATGGTGAATAATTCTGAAATTTGTGTATAATGTGTATTATGTAATATATTATTGTATTATATAATGTATTAGGTAGTTCATTAAGTTCTGCGATTTTTTTGCCTTAAATTGAAACACAAATCTACCGCAGAGCTTAATGAACGACCTAATATTATGTAATATATTATTGTATTATATAATGTATTAGGTAGTTCATTAAGTTCTGCGATTTTTTTGCCTTAAATTGAAACACAAATCTACCGCAGAGCTTAATGAACGACCTAATATTATGTAATATATTATTGTAATATATTATTGTATTATATAATGTATTATGTAATATATTAAATATAGTTTAGCAATTAAAATTAAAAATATGATGCCCTTAACCTGATATAGGATAACACGTGTCTTAGAAGTGTTAACTTCTATCGCAAATTATCTAAGTTTTCGAATGATTAATCTAATTATAACTGTGCCAAAGTAATTAAGGTAAAAACTGCGCCAAGTATTTAAGGTAAAAATACCAATGCCAGGACACGTACCTAATCCTGGTTACTCTTTTTGTTTTGGTCTTTAAATATATATATATATATATATATATATATATATATATATATATATATATATATATATATATAT